TTTTTTTCCCACTACCAGTGACTTGTTGCCACTTTTTTTTATTGGTTTCTCAATACGCCCTGGAGGTGATTAACATAATTTAGAAATAAAAACAGCCTCCAAAAAAACATATAAGCAGTCATTCGTCTGAGCACTAGGGCCTGTGCAGAGAAACTGCTTATTAATAAAACAGTCGAAGCAAATGAGATGCTGTCAGAGACCGTGTGGAGGGGGAGTGGTCACGTCCACCAGGAGGGACAGGACCCTTACCAGACTAAACCGATTTTTGGCCAGAGCGATGAGCTCCTGGTCCCCGGGCGCGCAGATGTTCAGGCCGATGGGCAGCAGCCGCTTCAGCGCCGCCACGATGAGCGATGTCTGCATGGAGTACCGGTCCCCTCTGCGCTTCATCTTCTTCCTCTCCTGGTCAGACACGGCTGCCTGCGGAGCGACGACACACATGTCACAGGGTGAGGAAGGGGCCTTCTGACTCGACTATAGCCTCCCCTTCCTCGTTCTCTGCTGGTCCCTAATTTGAAAATCCTGCTAGGAACACACCTCCTCTCCTTCTCGGCATCCCTTGCCGACGTCAAGTCCTACTCGAAGACTCCCCGGTCACTAGCCTGCACTGGGAGCTATTTCTCTATGATTTGAGAAGGAAAACGCACATTGTAGTTTTAGAGAGGCAGGTGGACGTATGAAAAACCCATGGCAATTTCAGATATTGTATGCCTCACAATTTTCAACGCTTAAGAGGAAACACGTTTAAGAATAAATGTTCTCTGTTCTGACAAATGTTTGCTTTGCGATACACATGCACACACGTGGTATATATCAAACTCTCATAAAGCACGCCTGCCTTTCATACAGGCTGAGGACTTGTCTCCCGAGGCCTTAACCCCCACCCGGTGGAAAGAAACAATATGCTAACGGATGTGACGTAAACACTCAGGACGACCTCTGGACGACCTGTTCCCAGCTGAGCACAGCCACGACCCTGCAGAGCTCTCCTGTGATTCGCTGAGAATCACGCCTGCGGCAGGGTCACCTCAACCGACACAGTCTAACCCTCCCCGCGTAGTGAGTATTCCTCCTCCTATTACGGAGGCATATTCCCAGGTTAAAATTAAAACTACTGCCCCGTCGCCACTTCTTGTGCATGTTAAATTTCTTTGTAGCAACAAATCAAACATTGAAGACAGTTTCACTATAATGACATATTGTAATAGTTTTGGGCTGAGAAAAAAGCAGAAGAGAATTTAATATACAAATGATTTGCTTTCCCCAAAGGAAGGCGAAATTTATCACAACGTGATGGTGAAAGAAGTTCTTTACATGGTCAAAGTACTGAAACAACTGAAATCATACAGTGATGGCAGCTGATGTGTCATGTTGATAATGTAACATATGTAATAAATATATCACTACGTATGTCACATATCTATTGATACATCAAACCTTTAATATCAGAACCGTAGCAGCAAGCATGCTTTTCTGCACATTCCAAAGAGATGACTTATTGCACGGATCCCACTTGTATCTGTATCAATTTGTAAGGCATTATTCTCAGTAAGTAGAAGCAGAACAGTGAATAATAATTTGTACTATTAAATTAGTTAACCCATGAAAACAATGGATCAGTGGTTTTAAATGAGCTCTTTGCTAAAAGGAAACATAACCACAGTGACAAAAATACTTACCCAAACAAGGAATCACCATCCTAAAAATTAAACAAGCTGATACAAATTATGCAAACATATTTCTATCTAATACTGGTAATTTAGTTTTAGCAAAACAGTATTACTCAATACATTAAAGTCTAAATTTTATTGGTGTCCAAGTTTTCTTTGATTTTAACCTGTAAAGCTTTGTTTTTGGTTTTACGGTTATAGAAGGAGGAACTCCTTAAGTGACCTTATAATAAAAATAATTTAAACCAACCCTAAAGGAAACTATACATTGTTTGATTTTGAGAAACATTAGATAAATTAATTCCTACTTATGCTCAAAATAGAATCTTGTTTTCTATACCACACGAAGTCTGAAAACAGAAAAGAATAGTTAATAAATCTCTGAACAATATGGGTGACACAGTCCACCGCAGGTATGAAAAAATTTAACAAGCCATCACAGACCCCCCTGCACCTCTCTGCCGGTCGGTCTGGCTCGCTCAGGGCCCGTTTCCTCCCTGGACTATGGAGCTCCATTAGGGAAGTGGCCAAAGCCATTTTGCTCCTTTTTGTATATGCAGAACCAAGCACTGCACCTCACCCACAGGAGCTGCTCAATAATTGAGCAGAACTGCTAAAGCTATTGAATTTGGATTTCATTTTCCATCTATTCCTTAACATTTGAAGCTGATATGAATACACAATAACACAGTCAATATGTAGGCACTGATGGAGGAAATTCTCACGTGTTGAGGTATGGGGAAGTCATTCTGGCTTATACACGATTTAACTTAAATTTTATGCTAAAACAGGGGAGAGCAGCCTATTTTGCGGCCTGTCAAATGTGCATTGTACATCTGCTTTAACCATTAAAGACAATAATGCATTTAAAAAATTAAAATGGAGTAACTGTGGTTCAGGCATCCAAAGCGGTGCCAGGTGGCCACTGTGGATGTGGTTTCAGACACGTTCCTGCAGCCCTGAGAACCTGAAAGTTCTGAGCTGTATCAGACTCAAGGAGACCACCAGCCATTCCCAAAACAGTATCTGCCCGCTGCTGCCAGCTGCGACCTTATGGTCTCAAGGTCTCCCCTGGTTACTATGCAACCATTTCAGATCCTAACCGATCCTTACTTAACAAGCACCCTTACGTCTTGCCAGCTCCAATTATAATTGACAAACAACTTACGTAGCTTGCGATTCTTGCCTCTATAAGCCTCCCCTATGCCGTAGTCCAGCGGAACACAGTTCAAGTGCTTCCTGAATCTGTGTCTCCCAGGCTACAGTCCTCAGTTTGGCTCAAATAAAACTCTTTCCTATTCCTATTACAGATTGCTCATTGATGGTTTCTGTCGGCAGCATGTTTAAGGAGGAAAGCAGGATAAATGACCTCTCTCTTAAGTCAGTCTGCGTGCGTGTGTCTCTGTCTGCCTGTCTCTCTCTGACACACACACAAGCATGCGCCACAAATACAGCTCTAACAACTTCGTCTAAAATTTAGGGCGGGAGAAGACCAAGGAAAAGGGAAGCACTTTCTAATACTCCTGCAGTGAAATAGCCCACGACCCCCCCCAGACATAGATACCTGTGGTTTTTGAGAATTTGGACATACTAAGCATGGAAGTGAGCCTATTCATAAAAAGGATAAGAGATCACAAGTTTTGGTGAGAATGCGGAAGAAAGGGAACCCCTACGCACTGTGGGTGGAAAGGCAAATTGGTTCAGCCGCTCTTAACTGCATGGTAGTTCCTCAAAACAGAAGAAAAGTAGGACCACCAGAGCACCGGGGCCAGCCACACACGCACAGCCTCTCCGGGCTACACACACTGGGCTTGAAGCGGAAGGACTTCCCTGCCCCAGGCTCCCACATTCCAGGCTGGTCAGCTGGCCCCGTCGCCTGTTCTGTGTTCCCTCCCGATTTTGGAAATGGCACTCCAGACAATCCCTGTGTGGGGGACCAGCTGGAGACCTCTGCTCGGAAAACCTCTGATTCCTCGAGTGTGCTGACACCCTGCAGTCACTGTCATCCTCCCGCAGGAAGCGCTGACCTCTCACGGCCTCTCTCTGTGCCTCTGTTGACACCGGTCTGAGCCGGCAACATGCTGACCAGGCAGAGAAATTCACTAACAGTCTTCAGTTCAAAGCCTGTGTGAAGTGTGTGCTCTGAGCACAGCCCCTCCTGGAGGAGGTGCTCCCCACTCTTGAGGCGGACTGTCGGCCCAGAGGAAAGTGTCTCATCTCTCACGAGTCTTTAGGGAGCACAGCCACACGAAGTGACAGCCGGCAGTGGTCACACAAATGTTCCAGCACGCACCGCTTCGGCGGGCGTTAGCTTTGAGTTCGTGGGCAACACATCAAGTACATGCATGTATACCTCCAAATAAGACAGGGTATGGGCGACGACATGTTGTGGTCCTGGCGGTCGCCAGTGAAGCAAGTCAGATGGACTCTAGGGGTTCAGGGGGTGGGCCTACCGCCCCAGCGCCTGTCTTCCCAGAACTGATTTCCTTGGCCAGGGTACCACACTGTTTTGCATCTTTGGCCATTTGGCAGCATATTTTGTTTTATTCCATGTAATATATTCATTTTCATATTTGGTGGCAATTCAAAAGATAAAAGCAAGGATTTTTTAGTGTTTTGAAAGGAAGTTCTTCTTTCCCCAACATGAGTGATTGAGAAGACAAAATTTTCCACTTCATATGTGATAACCTGGAATCTATCCACGTGGTTCTTAAACAATTCAGCTAATTATTTTGAAACGTATGTATCTGACACACATAAATGCACATATATTTACTCCTGACGCATACATGACATTAACTAATTATATGTATATTTCTACTGATTGGCAGTCGTGCGAGTGTGCCTGTTAAGTGTGTCTTTTCATTCTGATGCTTTGACATTTTGGGGCCCTACTGGTCCTTGACTGTCTTTTCCAGGGCTGTCAAACCCTAGAGATAGAAAAACACTTGCCTGCAAGCACGCCTTTCATATGCGAACCAATCAGTCCAGAGCTCACGTTCCCCAGTCTCCTCCCTTACCCGAACCTCAAGCCACCGGCCCTAACACCGAGGCCAGGTTCCAGACAACCGGGAACAGAGCCCAGTCGAGTTATTCAGACTAGTCAACCCCAACCCTGCCTACCCTGTCTCGCCTGCCCTTCCCATAGACACCACAGTGAAGGTGTTTGTCCACGGCCCCCCGGCTCCCCCGCCTCGTGACGGACCCTGGTGCTCCCCCACGTGTCCCCATTCCATGCTGTGCCTTCCATTTCTAGGGAGCTGTGAGTAAAAACTTCTCCCCCCGTGACCCTCGTTTCTGTGTCTGCACGTCTTGCCACACCTGAGTAAAACAAGGCCCAGGCACCCTTAAAACGGTGTGTGTTTAACCAGCAGACACTATGATCAAATAACCAAATCCCAGTTGTAAACCTTCAAGAGATCTTTAAAAAATCAACTCATTCAACTAGTGAATGTTGCATTCAGACATCTGCTAGAAAATCAAACAGATCATAGTTGTACCTTCGACATCTTTGACTTGGTGTCCGTGATGAGAAAAGACATGTTGTTGATTTCATTCTGCACCACGAAGTTCTGCTCCTCCCTTTTGAAGTTCTGAGAAGTTCCAAAGGGAATGTCAGTTAAAGTCACGCAGATAAGAAGTTCATGGAATTAGAGGTTACACAGGACCCCAAAGTTTCTACGAAGATAAGGACCCATGTGGTGTATAAGACATGAAGAAGGGAGACACATAGTTGTTGAATATCCAATGAGGCTGCTTGGCCACGGGCAACAATTCTGGGAACTAGACATAAATACGTATGTTTCACAGATGGGAAAACTAAGCTGAGGAAAGTTTAAGTCAAGTCATACACCTATCAAGGGATGGAATGAATATTCAAACCCCAGCTACGGTGAAAAGCATATATTGCCTCTTGGGATAAAAACAGATTTCCTAAGGGCATGCACAACCATAACGCAACTTCCCGTTCCGTCAGCTATTCCACCTACATTTTCAAATACCGTAACATTATCTTATTCACTTTAATTTAGGAACATAAAAGCACTTGCAAAATTTGAGCAGTGGTAGGAGTGAAAGCAAATACAGAATAAAAGCAGAAATAACCAGAGTTTTCAAAGAGAAAGAAATGATCTTCCTCTTTCAGATAAGCAAAACCCAAATAAAATAATTTTAAAGCATGTAAATATGTTAATAATCGATGAGTAATAAAGGTTTGTATGAAGGACAGTGAGCAGACCATGCGTCAACTTTCATTCAGCTCATGTTAACATGCCAACTTACTATTAATAATACTATGGCTGTTCACATAGTTAAGTATTTGCAGAAGAATATGCATGACACATATTAACAGATGTGTGTTCTAAATATACCCATGAGATTCAAATGCACACATTCAGATTTTTTTCTTATTCTTGAAAGTATCATTAGGCATTCATCCAAAAACCTACTGATTATGACAAATACACTCATTTCAAAGTTCTGTGTTGCTTACAAATTTAAAGATACTTCTTTGGTGTTTTAGCTATTGATGAAGTTGAAGATTCTCAGTTCTTCAAGGAAAAATATGCTGTTTCTAGTTTTCTTAAGTGATTTACTCGTGGCTCTGGATTTCAAAATTCCCTTCGGAAGTACCCTGAATGATCTAATCCCCCTTAAGGTGAATTACCAAGGATAAGAAATCATGTGCTTTTATGAGAGGAGCATAAAGAGTCTGAGAGAATCTCCCGTGATGCCACAGAGAGCGAATGTCAGTGTGAAGAGACAAGTCTACATGTTAAAAAGCCATTATTTCATTTATTATCTCTATGTGATTATATTTTTTAATGTACGTTTTTATATACATCTTGGTATTAAGTTTGACAGACTCCTCAGAGGTAGGCAACAAATAATTATTATCCTAAATATTAAGTAGAAAAGTTTTATTTTTAAAAAATACTACATTTTCACATTAATCAGACTTGTATAACAATATAAGGAAATAAAGTGGGAAGCGACCTTAAATGACACACTGAGGCTGAGGTGTTTATTTTTACTTTCTCACAGTCCCCCTTTTACATAGCACCACAGAATAATAACCGACACAAAAACTCAAAGCTTTTGAAACAATCTGGGACACTAATGTTCATTTATCCATATTCTACTAGTCACTGGAAATAATTATAGGACACTATAAAGTTCCTTCTTTACCTGTAAGTATTTATTTTTGTAATAGATTTTACTACAAAGTTCTTACGATTAAAATCTTTTTCAGATTTAGAAATACATAGTTCTACGTGTAGCATACAAAACAGTGCAAATTCACTAAACA